TTCAAACATCATCATCGCCACCACCACTCACAATCAATCATCATCCTCTTCACCACTCATCTTCACCACCACTCATCATCCTCATCCTCATCATCGTTGAGTAAATTGTGAGGAAGTCTCAGGCGGGAGCCCCCTCCCTATGGGGCCCGCAGATCATGTTGGTAATCCGAGCGGGTCATCGGAATCCTGTAACTGTCGTCACTTTTTGAGCTTGAAAATGGAGGAAGTCTCAGGCGGGAGCCTCGTCTGTGAGTGAATTGGGAGGAAGTCTCAGGCGGGAGCTCCCTCCCTATGGGGCCCGCAGATCATGTTGGTAATCCGAGCGGGTCATCGGAATCCTGTAACTGTCGTCACTTTTGAGCTCCCCAGGCCTGAAAATGGAGGAAGTCTCAGGCGGGAGCCTCGTCTGTGAGTAAATTGTGAGGAAGTCTCAGGCGGGAGCCTCCCTCCCTATGGGGCCCGCAGATCATGTTGGTAATCCGAGCGGGTCATCGGAATCCTGTAACTGTCGTCACTTTTGGGCTCCTCAGGCCTGAAAATGGAGGAAGTCTCAGGCGGGAGCCTCGTCTTGAGTGAATTGGGAGGAAGTCTCAGGCGGGAGCCCCCTCCCTATGGGGCCCGCAGATCATGTTGGTAATCCGAGCGGGTCATCGGAATCCTGTAACTGTCGTCATTTTTGGGCTCCTCAAGCCTGAATTCGGAGGAAGTCTCAGGCGGGAGCCTCGTCTGTGAGTGAATTCTGAGGAAGTCTCAGGCGGGAGCCCCCTCCCTATGGGGCCCGCAGATCATGTTGGTAATCCGAGCGGGTCATCGGAACCTTGTAACCGCCGTCACTCTTGGGCTCGTCAAGCCTGAATTTGGAGGAAGTCTCAGGCGGGAGCCTCGTCTCTGAGTGAATTGTGAGGAAGTCTCAGGCGGGAGCTCCCTCCCTATGGGGCCCGCAGATCATGTTGGTAATCCGAGCGGGTCATCGGAACCTGTAACTGTCGTCACTTTTGGGCTCCTCAAGCCTGAATATGGAGGAAGTCTCGGTTTTGTCCAGGGCGGAGGCGAAGCAGCTCGCGGCAGAGCTGGGCTTCGTGCTGCCTTCCGCCTGGGCGCGGCTGCGCCTCGCTCGAAGCCCGCGGGGTTGTCCCAACGGCTTGGTCTTGCGCGCCAGCGGCTCGCGGGGTTGCCCCGACAGCCTGGCCCGCGGGGTTGTCCCAACGGCTGCGCGACGTGACCAGTAGAGAACGCGCCTGTGCTGGCCGTGTCGGCGACGGCGCCGATGAACATCGACATGCGCGCTCACGCAACAGGAAGGGGAGGGGGTGGCGGGGCGCGGAACAAACAGGGGGGCGAGGATGGGGACAACGCAAGGAGTGGAAGGGGGGCCCGCGCCAAGGCGACAGGAAATTACGCAGAAGAGACAGCCAGGACGCCTCACCAACCACGAGGACGACGGTGATGGTTTTTTTCCAGATTCGCCCAGAGGATTCTTATGTGGGGTTCTTCCGTCTGAGTAATTTGGGTCTGATTTCCAGCAATGGATGGAGTGGTGCGTCCCATACGTTGCGGACGTATTACGCTATAGTGACTTTCGGTCTCTGTTCAGCACCCCATCGCGCGGTGCTGTGGACGCAGCGGCATGTACTTCGGAGCGATGGAATATGGCGATCGAGCTCTGCATGAGTGGGTGGTACTCGGCGGCTACTCCCAGGGAACAGGCCTGCTTGCATCTTAGTCAACCGTGGCCCGTCAATGGTTCTTGGCGCGTCCGCACTTTACGGCAACGTGCCCTCGCGCATCTTCGGCACAGGGACTGGGCTGCTGACGTGACGCGTATGAATGATGCGGAAAGGGCTGACCTCCTTCGCATGCGCCAAGTCTTTCCGTCTGGGCCGCCGTCGTCGCTCAACCCGCCTTCGCACCTCTTGCCGAACTTAGTGCATGTCGAGGGCGACTGCGACGTCAGCGAAGACCCGTACCTGCCCGACGAGGACAACCGCAGCGTCGACACCGTAGGCTACCCTCATCCCACTGATATGGAAAGGGAGCTCATGGAAGTTGCTGCTGACGCCGACACCGTGATGACCGCTGATGAATACGCACATCATTTTGGATCGACATTGACAGACGAGGCACTCGAAGCTCAAGTGCTGGCTGCCGGGAGACGCTCGAGGGCGAACACAAGTGGGCCGTCTGACCCGTCCGCCTCCTCGTCCTGGATGCCACCCGCTGTTCCTCTCCCCGATGCTGTTCAGCATGAGACAACTTCACCCAGCAGCTCTGACGACGGCATCTGCGAGACGATGGCGGCGCACGGACTTGGCGTCATCTATTCAGACAGTTCAGTTGGGGGCGCTGCGGAACGGACGTTGGCAGGCCGTGATTCGGATGCTCTCTCGTCGGTGGCTTCGGCACCTGCTACTGCGTTGGGTACGGCCCGGCTACAGCAAGCGTAGATGCCCTTACTGGTCTTCAGCATTGGAGTGCTGCTGTTCGTGATGAATTGCACGTTGCTCGATCTGGCGCGGCAACCGCAGATCCGCTCTCAGACCGACAGCTGGCGCTGGCGTTGCTCTACCTGAACGAGATCTTCGGCCTATCGGACGAGCAGCGGAGCCTTGTTACCTGGATGCTTCAGAACCCTGGAAGCGTGCTGGATGGTGATGAAGGCGGTGGCCATGATTACGTGATGATGGGAGCGGACAGCGAGGGTCACAACCCGACTGGAACGAACCCTGCTCGACCTTCTCAGCTGGGGACACAAGTTGTGAACACTTCTCGCCCGCGCGTCAATAGATTCACCAATCGTGCTCGGGGGCCCTGGCCGTCTAAGCTTATGGGAACGGCACAGCTACACGCCGTGCCCCCTCATGGACACGAACAGCCTGGTGGTGCTGGCGAAGCGGATGACCAAGACACAGGACGTGCAGTTCATGCTGATGACGTTCTTCTTGATGATGAGGCCGCCGCCCCCCTCGTGACTTCGGCGGCTGCGGCTTCGGCAGACAATGGTACAGAGGCGTCGATGGAGGACGATGATGACATTTTGGCGCTTTTCCTGGAAGTGGAAGGAGAGGAGGACAACGTCTTCGCGACGGCCCAGTCTGAGGCTTTCGCATCTGCTGTCTCTCTTGATCACCAAGATGATCCCGATGATCGACATGCGGAGATCTCCGCTATGGTTAATGCAGGCGCTGGAGTAGCTCCCTCCGTGAGTGAAGTCAGCGCCGTTCTTCCTGATGGCCCCGTACCTGACGCTGGGCCACTACTTCAAGACGGCGTTGCCGTCGCTGGCTCGGTTCACGTCGACGCCAGCTTCCACCTCGACGACTTCGGCAACCAGATCGTCTCTGCGGAGGAGGATCTGAGGAATGGCCCCGCGTGGGCCGCGGGCGGCGCGCCCCGTGCTGCTTAGTGCAGCGGTGCGGCTGGACGGGGATCCCTCTTTGAGGCGTGGGCTCCTCCCCCTCCTCCTCCTCCTCCTCCTCCTCCTCCTCCTCCTCCTCCTCCCCCTTCTCCTCCTTCCCCTCCTCCTCTTCCTCCTGTTTCTCCTCCTCCTCCTCCTCCTCCTCCTCCTCCCCTCCTCCTTCTCCTGCTCCTCCTCCCTCCCCCTCCTCCTCCTGCTGCTGCTCCTCCTCCTCCTCCTCCTCCTCCTCCTCCTCCTCCCCCTCTCCACCTCCTCCTCCTCCTCCTCCTCCTCCTCCTCCTCCTCCGCCTCCGCCTTCAGACAATGATACAGGCGCGCGTGACGGAAAGAGCGCGACCGAGAGAAGTGATTTACAGGGTTCTAGCCCCAGTTCGGGGGAGGTCCGGCGGAGGGGGCGTGGCGCGGCGAGATTTCTGACACGCCTTCCGGGGGTCATGTTCGCTGTTGTTCCGGCCATGGAGGCCTCAAGACAGCCCAAACTAAATGATTTCTAGGACGGCCAAATATGCCCCCAATAAGGCCTCAGAGAGACCCAAGAGGACCCGAAGACGTTCCAAGAGCGCTCCCTGAGGGCTCCTGATGGCCTGGTCAGGGCCCAAGCGGCCCAAGACGCCCCAAGAGGCCCCCAGGAGGACCCCCAAGAGGCACGAATGAGGCAAAACACATAAGCGGACTTCTGATTTCCGAAGGATTTGTTGGTTTTCCCTTTGTCTGGCCAAGAGCGGCCAAAGGCAGCCCCGGGTGCCTCCGAGATCGCCCGAAGACGTCCCAAGACGCTCCCAAGAGGGCCTCAAAGCGGCCCACGAGGGCTTCCAGGCGGCTTACGAGAGCCCCAAGACGGTTCAAGGAGGGCCCCACAGAGCCCCATCAGGCTCGCAGGAGAGCCCCAAGGCGGCCACAGGCAGGTCCCAAGAGCGCTCCAAGCTGACCGAATCCCCCCCGGACGGTCCAAGCTGTCCGCGGACGGCCCAAGAGGACCCCCCAAAGGCCCAAAAGATACACAAGAGGCCCTCAAGATGCTTCTAAGTGAGTCTCAAGAGGCCCCCCCGTGAGCGAACGGTGACGTAAGAAACATTTGATGCGAACGCAATGTTCCCAAGAGCGCACGGTGACAAAAAATAATTGGTCGCCAAGGCCTCAAGAGCTCACAGCGGCGTAAAAAGCTTTGAGCGCCAAGGTACACAATAGCCATCTCTTGCGAAATTGGAACCGCCCCGCATGACGAAGCGCTCTTGTCGGTTCCCATGCCGGCCCAGGTTCTAACACGCCTCAGCGTGTCGCTGGCACGGTGCGTCTTCGCCGTCACCAGGTTGCCCGCACACTCGTTGACCAGCCCGACGGGGGCCCGAGGAGGCGCGAAGAGAGAGAGAGAGAGAGAGCCGCCAGAGCGGGGCGCACGCTAGCATGGATCAGGGATCCTTGGATCTGGGGCGTGTGCTCCAGATCCACGGGTCGGGGAAAGTGCTCCCCGAAACATGAGGCCAGTGCCACATGATTTTGCGACGGGGAGCGTCGATTTCCTATTGAATCGGGACCGGTCGCTAATCCACGCGCCTTAATCTTTGCTTGCGCTTCCTCGACAGAGGTGAGCCGCTACCAGTGGGACGCGGCCCTGGATCGGCTGCCGTTCGGCATGCAGGACGTGTGCGGCATGCCAGGCCCGCCCCGCGGACGCTTCCCCCTCCTCCTCCTCCTCCTCCTCCTCCTCCTCCTCCTCCTCCTCCTCCTCCTCCTGCCCCTTCTCCTGCTCCCCCTCCTCCTCTTTCTTCTCCTCCTCCTCCTCCTCCTCCTCCTCCTCCTCCTCCTCCTCCTCCTCCTCCTCCTCCTCCTCCTCTCCTCCTCCTCCTCCTCTCTTCTTCTCCTCCTCCCCTCCCGCCCTCCCAATAGTCACTGAGGGGGGGGGGCTGAGGACCTCCCTACGGCCCCTCGGCCATCGAAGGCGGCCGTAGGGAGGGGTCCAGAACGTACCTCCACCTTCTCAAACCCTTGCGCCGAGGCGAGGATCATCACAGGCCTTATCATCCACCAGTCAACGAATTCATCATTTTCCTCCCTGGGCGTGGTTCTGGTTCGAGGCACCAGTGGAGCGATTGCGAGGCAGTCGCGTGCCCTCCATACCGAACGACCCCAGCCGCGAGCCTGACCCCAGCAGCGGCGATCATCTTGCGACGGCCAGGGTTGCAGACGGTCCAGTGAGAGGCGACAGAGACAATCAACCATTTTCCCAGGACGCCGGCCACTAGGTACTTGGGCGATGACACCCTCCTAAGTCGCCCCGAGGACCTGGACATCAGCTGTAAGCGAGAGGGGCGATGCGCTGAGCCATGGTATCTACTGCCGCTACGCCGGTAACAAGTAACTATCAAGTTCTCGGTCACGTCCTCTGGCCACGCCATAAGTGCTATGAGGGCATACATCATCGTTCCTGCGGTGCTCGACAAGGTCATGGTCACATGGTCCATGTGCATGGAACGCTATGGCAACCTCCCAAGACGAGTCCTCAGTCTTGCTGAATATGACGACTGTCATTGTCCCTCGGATCACCTAACTGGCGGATTGCTCTCCTCGGCGATACCCACGACACAATTCAGCCGATCCCCAGCTCAACGCCAGCCACACATAGTCAACGGGTGTCTCTATGCGGGCGCGTTGAATCGTGTTCGGGATCATCACTTGGGCAACCAGGTTGCTGTGATGTCATTTACGACCAACCACGAGCGAAGGCGATCCAGTTGTTCGAGAAAGATACGGCGGCGCGCTCATAATCTATATTCGTGATGTTCGTTTCGTGACTTCGTACGGTTCCCATCGGCAAGCAGTCTCATCTTGAGTCGAACGACACTTGCCGTCGCTGGACCTCGTGAGCACTCTATGCAAACGCCTCGCAAAGAGGCGCCAGGCGGGCCCGCCCGTGTTTGGCGAGATCACGAATGTTTGCGACGGCGTGCAGGCACTGTTGCGGACATTTCTAGGTGCCCATTCCGCCCTCTTGTTGTGGAGCGTCCCCGCTCGCAATCGCAGTGAGATTTCCAGGCAATTCTAGTTTTCCACAATGCCCATCGTTCTGCAGGCCACGACTGCTCGCTACGAGGAATAGCCTGCCGTTGCAGTGCTTGAAGGTTTGTAGGTAAAGACTTTCTTTGTCCAGATTGCTCCTTCTTCGAGGGTCGCCCCCTGCCTCCCAGTTTATGGGCCTCCCAGCCTGCCAACGTACCGTGGTGTTGCAGGACTGTCTCCCAGGTGCCCGAACTTTCTGTTACCTTTGTTCGTATAAAGCGTAGCTGGTGCTAACGAATTCATTCCCAACATCCTAATACGTCGGGCTTGTTGTTTTCTCTGCACACCCCGTGCAATGACCTCCCCCCCCTCCCCCGATCACCATAATAATCACCACAAGCATCGTCATCAGCAGCGGCAGCAGTAGCGTCATCATGATCACCATCATCGCACACACACACACACACTCGCTCGCACACTCACGCACTCGCACACCAATATTGAGGAGGTCTCAAGCGGGAGCTTCGTATGTCGAGGAAGTCTCGAACAGGAACCCCGGGTCCCGATCTCCGTGTTCGAATGCGAGCGAGGCCGTGCACACCTTGGAATTGTTGTCACCGTTGGGCTTCCAAAGCCTGAGTCTGGAGGAAGTCTCGAGCGTGAGCCTGTCTGCAGGTGAGTCGCGAGGAAGTCTCGACTGTGAGCACCGCCTCGCGGGGTCCTCTTTTCATATTCGAATCCGAGCGGGGCCATCCAAACCCTAGAACTGCTGACCCGTGACCCCAACCCTGTAATTGTCGTCACTGTTGGGCCCCTGGCGCCTGAATCCAGTGCACGGCTCGAGCAGGAGCCTCGTGCGTGAGTAAATCGTAAGTCTTGAGCGGGAGCCCCTCCTAGAGGGGTCACCACCTCCATGTTCGAATCCGAGCGGGGCCATCGAAACCCCAGAATTGTCGTCACGTTTGGGCTCTTTAGGCTTGAATCTGGAGGAAGTCTCAAGCGGGAACCTTGTCCTTGAGTGAATCGCGAGGAAAGTTCGATCGGGAGCCCCTCCCAATGGAGTCCGCATCCCCGTGTTCGAATCCAAGTGGGGTCCTCCAAACCATGGAATTGTCGTCACTTTTGGGCTCTTCAGTTTTGAATCTGGAGGGCGGCTCGAGAGGGAGCCTCATCTGTGAGTGAATCGCGAGGATGTCTCGAGTGGGAGCCTCTGCGTTCAGAAGGACGACGGTGAGGATGATTTCCAGATCAGCTCGGAGGATTCTCATGCGGGTTCCCACCGTCGGAGCACCGTCAAGACGCTGAAGTCAGGACCACCTCGGGCTCTGTTGGGGCTCTGGTTGCCGGGCCGCTGCTTTGATTTGGGGTTCGGAGCCTATTCGTGGCCGAGGCTCGCCGTGGCCAGGAAAGCCCTCGCGTGTCTGACGCAGCGGTCCGCATCGTGGCGCAATGGCTGTGCTGTTCAGATCCAGTCAGCCGATCTGCCGTCAGTCATGTCCAGTCTAGCGTCCAATCCAACCACTGCCGAAACCTGCATATCTGATCGGGGGCATCTTACATTGGTCCCTGCCTCAACTTTCACTTCGCTCCGTGAATCTATATGTTCTTCCAGGTGTTCCTCTAGCCGCTGCGTGTGCCACACATCCCCGCAGGCCTCCTCTCTGGACGGCCTCATGATGGGCTAGAAATAGTACAACATGTGTATAGCTGCATGTGAGACTCAATCAGTGTTCACGTATGTAGATGTACAGGTGCATATTTATGAATGTATACGTCATCTATACAAAATACATCGGACCCCCCCTTGATTGGTCTCCCAGGTAGGGGCATTCCCCTGCGCGACTTATGCCTCCCACGCGGCCTCGGACACTCCTCAAAAGAACTCCAGATGGCGCCAATCGCGCATTACCCCGCACTTGAGGGCCACAATACTGTTCCTCTGTTCGACCTATCGGCCTCCAGAGGGGGCCAGGCGGTGACCTGCGACGACCTGAGGGCCCCCCGAAAGGACTCCTCAGAAACCCCCAAGTACCCACATTGCAGGTTTTGCCCCAGTCTCGGTATCATTTTCGCAAAACCGTTACTCGGCCCCCATAGCGCCCGAACCACCCAAAGAGGCTCCCAATGTTTCCCCAGTATCCCTTCCAACGGCGCTCAAGAAGGCTCCGGCAAGGACCCGGGACGGCCTAAGACAGGTTCGAGAGGACCCCAAGTACCCCACACGGTTCCCAGGCCAAGGCCCTTTCACGAACCCCAGGACGGTGTGGAAACGGGCCCTCGAAACATCGAACACGGGGCCACTCGCCACCATCGACCAAATCGAGACAGTTCCCGACACGGCCCGACGTTGTTTCCATATGCAAGTCCTTGGCATACTTCCTGAAATTCCCTGTGCACTTGCGGATCCTGGGGGAGTAGGCGGAGGTCACTCAGTCTGCATAGGCTCACGTCCCTCAGCTTCCTATACCCCTCGGCCCGTGTCTCCTTCCTTCATCCTCCATTCCCTTTGCCTCCCACTTTTCCTCCTCTTCCTTCTCCTCCCATCCTCGTCCTCGTCTTCCTGCCTTTATCTCCTCTTCGTCCCCCAGTGGATGTCTGAGCGAACGACTTCCCAATTCAATGTCAGCAGTAGTTGGCATTCTCAACCGACGCGCCTTCATCAGGACCCGTCACCTCCCTTAATTTTCCGCCTCCCAGCGGGAGTGGGGTTCCGAAGTTGTGCAGGCTACACGTGCTCATCTTCCTCCTCCTCCTCATCCACTTCCTCGTTCTTCAATCATATTCCCACCGTCCTCCTCCCGAAGAGGCTCCCAGGAGGCCCCAGACAGACCCGTAGAGACCCTTGGAAGTCGTCAGGTGATTCTCGTCCGCTCCGTTCTGCTGTTCTGGTGGCGTACGCCGCGGCCCGCTTTCGGGACACCAGGGGTTAGCGTTAGCGGAAGCAGGAGGAGGGATGAGGAGGACGGACGGGGAGGATCGAGGCATTTGGAAGTTGCTGCATCTCTTGGCTGCAACAATGATGTCAATGCTTTCGCGTTTACGCCTCTTGGCCCGACACTCATCGTTTCCCCGTGACTTTCCACGTCCCGCCCTACCCGTCCCATCTCATTCGATCCTTCTCCGCATTCGCCCTTCCCGTCCCCTCCTGAACCACCGATTTAAATTCTCATTCACTTAGTCTCTTCTTCAGACCTGCTATGCCCTGACCTCGCCCTCGCTCCCCATGCCTTCCTCGCCCGCCTTAATCTGCCACACATTGTCCGACAGTGCTTGCCCTGCGCCATTTCCTTCCTGCAGATGCTTCCCCCCGACTCCCCACGACCTTCCCAGCCACCTTCCCGTGTAAAGGGCAGCTATTCCATCTTCCGTCCGATTCGCATCTCGGATTCCGTTGCACCCTTTTCCCCCGGCGTGCGCTCTCATTGATCCTTTTGCTTATGGTATTGTCACCGCTACGTTGCTTTCTTGCCCACTCAAGTGATGACGTCGCCGAGGATGCGTCTCCAAACTTGAGGCGAAGCGAAGCGAGCCTTCGCTTCTGGTACACATGCAGACATGTACACACCAGCATATATATGTGTATATATACATATATACGTATATATATATATATATACATGATGAAGGCAATTATACACACATGTGTAATCTCAAATAATATAGATAGCAGTTCGAGTTGAGCAGTCTACGATACCCGTTTAGATGCGTCGTTCTCAATCCGATTCCGAATACTCCCTCCCTCCCTTATCCCTCCACTACCCCCCTCCCCCGTCGTCTTCCTCCCCCCCCCTCCGCCGCGGTTCCCCCCCATCCCCTTGCCTCCGTCCGTTGCCCACCTCCTGCCTCCTCCCTCCTCTGCCCGTGTGTTTCCCACCTGCAGGGCGGGTAAGCAGACCGCCAATTACGGCCACCCAGATCCAGCCGTCTTGTCTTGTGCATGCTGTGGGCAGTTCGATACTATTGCATTCAGTCGATTGGGCCCTCGTTGGATCCGAGGGCTCCTCTCCTCCCTTCCTGACCTCCTCCTCTTCCCCCCCTCCTGCCTGCCTTCTCCCTCCCCCACCCTCCCCTCCGCTCAACTCCCACCCCTCCCCCCCTCCCCGTCCCGCGGCGGCGCCCGGCCACAGGCGGGCGGGTCTTCCTGCAGCTGTCGCAGGCAGCCGCGCGGGGAGAGGGGCAGACGGCGCGGACGTCGCGGACACCCAGGGGCAGCGCTGCGGTCGGCGCCGCAAAGGTAGCGTGCGATGGGGCGCCGCCCGCACGCTTGTGACACAGCGTGGGGGGGGGGGGCGTTTGTGAAGAGACCCTAGAGGTCCCTTGTCTAATGAGGCTGGCGGTGATATCCATGGCCAAGCCTCAATTGATGCTCCACCTGCTTCCAGACCCTAGATTCCTCATCCAATGGTTCTTCATCCAAAGGCCCCCACCGTACCCCCGCACCATGCGGATAGCGTGCACCAAAGAGACCCTGGCAGGGGGATGGTGTGCGCAGAAGGACCCCTCGCAGAGGGTTTGTCTCGCAGGGACGGCGTGCACGGAGGAAGCCTTGTTGTGATGGGATGGCGTCCGTTTCTCTGGGCCTCCTAGATAGGGTCTGCGTAGATGGAGTCGGAGGATCGCGCCGCATCGCCGATGCATCGATGATGCGGCTCGATGTGGAGCCCGTGCTTCCCACGACGACGTCGCCGATGCATCGCCGACGTCGCCGATGCATCGCCAGTGCATCGCCGATGTGCGGCGCGATCCTTCAATCCCATCTACTCGGACCCCACCTAGGAGGCCTCCAGTTCCGGAGATCGGTGTTGCACGCTGCCTTTGCGACGCCAGCCGTGTGTGGGAACAGGCTTGGAGATTCGAGGTTCAAGGTTTTCGGACATTGCCATCGGTCCTCGACGGCTGTGCAGCCGCTGGGTACGTTTCAGCCGCTGCGCCTCTCCGAGGGGCTTCCACGAGCCCCCCGATCGTCCCGCACGGCCGCCAGAGGCCCGAGCTTTGGCCCGAAGACCGGACGACGGTGATTCCTGGGGAGGGGGGGCGCATCGGACCCCAATCGCCCACTGATCGCCGAGCTGGGCCCCGTGGCCCACCCCGCAGAGGAGCGTGCGGATCTGCTGCTGTGGGGCCCCATCGACGATGTATCGGCGATGCACCGCCGATGCCAGCCCGATGCCCCCCTCCCCTGAGCCGGCCCCCCCCCCCCTCCCCCTCCCGTTGGCCCCTTGATGAGGAGGATGGGGAGGAAGGAGGCAGACTGGATGACTGTCAGACGGGATGACGTGGCTGGTGCCTGGGTGGTTGTCGGCGGCGGGCCCCGGGGGGCAAGCGAGAAGGGGTGGGCCTTCTCAGAGGGCTCGGATGGCCTCGGGCCTCCTGAGAAGTTCTCTAAGCCTTCTCCCCGAAGACATGCAACACTTCTCAGAAGGCGCGAGGGCTTCTGAGAAGACCCGCCGCCTTCTGAGAAGGCCTTCTCCTTCTCCTTCTCGCGTCCCCCCCTCACGCGCCGCCGGGAGTGCGCACTGGGACAGCCGCGGCGATGTTGTTGTCTTCTCGGGGTTCGAGGCTCTGGCGTGCGGGGCGCGGCGTCCTGCCAACTTGGCTTGGATCTGAGCATACCGGTCGTTGGGGAGGCCGGGGATCTGATGGCTTTGTCGCCACGGTCGAGGCAAATCTTCCAGCTTGAAACCTGTCCCTATTCCTGGGATTGGCATCACCTAATAACGATGCCGATCTTACGGAGTCCCTCAGTTTCTGAAGGCACATCCCTAAGATCGCCATCGCCTTGGGCTTGTCGATCTTAGGGATAGGGATAAGAGATACGAGGTTGGTTACAAGCGGAAGGAGGGGGAAGAAGAGGCGTTTCCAGATTTTGGCTTCCTCCGGGGGCCTGCTTCGGGCGCGGGTGTGTCAGAAGCCAGTCCATGGACGAAATGCGAGTGGGGATGGACTCCAGAAGGGGTCCCCTGGAACCCACTTGCAGTGTGAGCGCCCGACCTGGCGTTCTCGTCGCTGTACGGATTCCTGGGATACTGGCGCGTGGAGCTGGCGGGATATCCGCGCGCGATAAGTACCAGGCGACGTTGACGCCGTCTGGCGTGCAGAAAGTTCGCGATACAGACCGCGAGACAGCGGGCGCCGGCGAAGGCGGCGTGTAATGCGGCCGTTCCCCATGTCCCCGAGATGGACGCCTTAACACGTGCGTGCGTTCTGGCGCGGAGCGAGCACCCGAGGAATCCGAGTTTTCACGGAACGTCGCAGCCGAAGCACGGGGCAGGGGAAGAAGAGCGGAATGGGCTGGTGTTGATGGCGTACTATTAGGCGTTCACGCTGCGAGAAAGCGTGGAAGGTGGAGTGCCGCGTCAGGGGAAGTTCGGCGTAGCTCACGGGTCGTGGGCGGAGGCGTCGATAGAATGGTTCAACAAAGGTATGCCGCGTGCGGAAACGAAGGGGTGGGTCCAGGTTTGCGTGGGCGTTGTGGACCCGCGGCCAGTCACAGACGAATGCCTCGTCAAGCGCGAGGACGGGTTGTACAGCGACGCAGGGTCGGACCCGAAAGCTGTCGACGAGGCCGCCAGGCGGAAGACGCGCGTCTGGGGCGCGCCCATGGAGAAAAAGGGCCGACGAACCAACGCAGTCGCAGAGGGCGACGCGTAAACAAAAGCCGGGGGGCGATCGCTAGGGGCGACGCCGCGGGGGGGGGGACGACATGAATCGGAAGAGCGGGGGACGAAAGAAACACGGTGGGGACGGGTTGTTGGGGTGGGATGGCGGTGCAGTGCAGAGGGCGCAGGCGCGGGAGACGTGGAGGGTACCCCGCAGGTGGTTGTGGGGAAGAAGGCAACGACGTCCTAGTATGCTGAGGTTGAAAACCAGGCATGCGGATAGCAGGCTGAACGCCAGTCAGCGTCGTGTCGTGGAGGAGGTTGCCGATCGGGCTCTGGCGCAGGAGTCCGCGGCTCCTGCGACCGAATAACGATCCTCCTCCGCCTCCTCCTCTTCCCCCTCCTCCATATTCCCCCTCTTCCTCCTATGTTTCCTCTTTCTGCCCCTTCCTCCACCTCCTCCTCCTGTGCCTCCCGTTCCTCCTTTTTTTCCTCCTCCTCTTCCTCCTCCTCTTCCCCTTCTCCTCCTCCCCCCTGAGCCTGCCAATGGTCAGGGGCTTTGTTTTAGCGTGTCGTGCCGCGGGTTCTGGCCCACCACGCCTCGGCGCGACAGGCTGACTACCTCCACTCCACAGGCGTCCATGCCCCGAGCTCTTCCCGGCCTCCCGCCCCGCGGAGCGGAGCGACACGCTATCCGCCTGCAGGGCATGCATCGTAGCATGTCGCCAAAGTCGCCGCCGCGACGCTGAACAACATTTTTTGGCCGTGTTCCCTTCTCGTCGATGCCACAGAGATCCGCGCCAGGCTGGCGAGGTCACTGCGGAGGGCTGGCGCCGGTTCTTTTCGGACTTCGCGGAGAGCGCCGAGGGTTCCCAGGCGCTGGCGCAGGCGGCGGAGCGGGTCGCAGCGCGCAGGCGCACGACGCCTGCCGGCCAGGCATCGGCCGCCGCCGCCGTCGCTGCCGTCCGTGCAGTCATCGCCGCCCTCCGTCGCCGCCGCCGCCGTCTTCGCGGTGCCGCCGCCGTGGTCGCAGCCCGCGCTGTCGTCGTCGCCGTCGCCGTCGCCGCCGTCGTCGTCGTCGCCGCTGTCGTCGTCGTTGTCGTCGCCGTCGGCCTTGCCTTCGTCGTCATCCGTCGCGCAGTCATCGCGATTGCAGTTGGCGTTGCTTTTGGCAGTTTCATCGTCGCCTCTTACAGAATTCTCGATGGCTTGGTGGCCGTCGCCTGCGTCGCCGTCAGCCGACGCCGCCGCCGCCACGTTGCCGTCACGGCTGTCGCCGTCGTTGCGGTCGTCATTCGTCTCGATGGCCGTGATCGTCGCCGTCGTCGCCAGGGTGCCGCCGCGGTCGCAGCCGTCCTCGGCGTCCTTGGCGTCGCCGCTGCAGTCGTTGTCGTCGCCACGGCGCCGCCGCGGTGGTCGCCGTCGCCGACGGCGTCGAGCGTAGTTATTGTCGTCTTCGCCACTGCCATTATTTTAAGCCGTCGCCGTCATCATCACCATTGCCAGTGCCATATCCAGTCTGATCATCTTCACCCGCCTCATTATCAATGCGAGGTTTTCTCGGTTTTCACCTTCATCGAAGCAGCGTGGAAACGTGGATAGCTGGACCTCGTCCCTTGTCTGGTTGGGGTATCTCACAATCGAAGGGGTTCACCAGAACGATCCGGCTTCGGTAAGCACCCTGACATCATTCGTGACATATCATTGCATCCACCTCCCTCTCTACATCCTCCCCCACTTAGGTGCGCACTGCATGTCGATAGCATCCTCTGCTCGCCCTCGTCGCCGATTCCAGCTGTGGTGTCTCGTGGGGAACATCGTCGGCTCCTATTCGGCCTCCTGTAGGTCTTGCCCTGGTCCTGCCAATGTCTTGGCCGTCGTGGAGTCAGTTCGGCCTACTTGGGCTCTGCACGTGTCCAGTCGAAGCCTTTATCTCTGCCCCCGCACCCTGTCCACCCTTCTCTTTTCTCCTCGCCCTCCCCCCTCGCCGCGTGCTGAATCCCGCTTCTGCGCCAGGGCGGCCTCATACACATCAGGTCGTCATCCCCGCCAGGGCCCTGTTGCTCTCCCTCTCTTCTTCCCTTTTCCCTCCCCGCCCGGGGGCACGACGCCCACACGGTGCTGAATCCTGCTTTGCGCCAGGGCGGCCTTAAACGCATCAGGTCGTCATCAGCATCGTCAGCATCGTCATCGTCCCAGGCACCCGGCGCTTCTACTTTTTAGGACACGGGGCCACTTCCGCGGGACCAGTGTTTCATGCCGAGTCGTTTTGTTGGAGATCCCAAGGCCCAGTAAGGGTCCCCAGAGGGCGAAAACGCTGAAACACCTTCGCCACATGTTTTTCGAGATGCTAGGTGTCTGGGGTTATCGTCAGCATCGTTAGTTTCACGCCACCTCTCCTCGCCCCGCGCGTCGATGCCGACGCCGCCGTCGTGATGACGGTAATGGCAGTGATGCGGTGGCGTTGATGAGGATGAATGTGAAGTATGCGCTCGCGGAGATGCCAGAATCCTGGCAGATTCTTGTTGTAACATTGTTGGTCTCTTCTATGGCGCCGTCTAGTTCTTTTTCGCGTCACGTATGGCGGTCATGACCAACGCGGGGTCACACAGCCACGTTGGGTCCGTGTGCCAACACGGGGTCACATCATCCCCGCTGGGCTACCGAGGGCTCCCCCCGAGGGGTCCTCAGAGGGGGCACATTGCACACCCGCCAACGCGGCTGTGTGACTGCCGCAGGTTGGCGACGCCATGACATGGACGCGGCCATCTCTTCCTGGAGAGCTCTGTGCTGGAACGCTTCGCACCCCAAAAGACGTCGTTTCTCTTGACGCACTCCGGCCCGCGGGCTCCCGCGAGGCCTCCGCCGCGGCCGCCGAGGCGCGGGGCGCCGCGGCGCCCGCGAGGCCGGAGAGGCGGTCCCTCCCAG